CTGTTATGCCATAAATCGGGTGACAATTAGCGGCCAAATCGGTGTCCAATAATGTCAGACAGAGTGTTGTCATCCATGTCTTCGGGCGCATCACTGCCGCCATTGCCTCCAATGCCTGCCATCGCCGGCGATGGCATCGAATCCAATGGTCTGCTCTCTCCAAGAGTTCAGTTGGCGCTCATAATCGGCGCACCGGTTGTGTTGGGAACCGGTCTTTGTCTCTATTACTACTACTATCGCCACAAACCCGATGACAAGGGGAGCGACAGGAAAGGCAACTCAACTAAACCCAAGACCATTGCCAACAATGAACCCAATCTAGAGGTTAGCGTTGAGACACTCCCACATCATTATCATTAGATCTGATCCCATATGTGTTGACATACAGTATAACTGATTGTGTTTGTAATGTTAGGATCCGCTGCAGCGGGCGATTCACGTGAAGAATTTGGGCAATAAATTCTTCAAAGACATGAAATATCGAGAAGCGATCGATTGCTATACGAAAGCCATCAGAGAGTGTCCGACCAATAAAGAGGAAGAGTTGGCCACTTTCTACCAGAACAGAGCCGCCTGTCATGAGATGCTGAAGATGTACGAAGAGGTGATCGACGACTGCGATAAAGCTGTTGAACACAACAAACGTTATATCAAAGCATTGGTCCGCAGAGCCAAAGGTATGCGTCGATTGTCACCACGAATTTGGTCCCAAAATTTGATGTTTAATTAATTATGTAATTATTAAAAGCTTACGAATCTTTGGGTGATATGAGTAGCGCTCTGTTCAACATCACTGCTGTCTGTATTCTGGAACAGTTTGGTAATCAGCCCAACCTCTTGATGACTGATCGCCTGCTTCGGGAACAAAGCAAACTAAAAGCCAAAGCGCTGTTTAGAACTCGGAGCCCACGCCTGCCGTCCGAGCACTTCATTGCCCACTATTTCATGTCGTATTCCAACGATCCTATACTCAAGAGTTGCGAACCCAAAGACATTATCAATCATTTGGAAACTCTTCGTCTAAAACAAAACGAATCCAATAAATCATTGCAGGAATTCCTTCTCTTAAATGGTATTGATTTCATTGTTTGTTCAAATGCTTTGAATTATTGTAATTGAGGTCTAAATTGTAATTCTTAGGAACGCTTGAGATATTGAAGGGTAATATCGAAAGCGGCGAAAAGGAGTTGGAAAAACTTATCAATTTAGACGATTGTGAGATTGATATCAAAGTGAATGCATTGATTAAATTGGGAACAATTAAAGTGCAAGAGATTGGCCGCGAAGACAGTTTCAATTTGGCGCTCGAGTGTTTCGAGAGAGCAATCAAATTGAATGACAAGAATCCAGACATTTATCTCCATAGAGCACAGGTATTACATAATAAATCAAATGAAGTTACGATTTATACTATAAATGTATACAATTTATAGATCTATCTATTGTCTGAACGAGTGGAGGACGCCTACAAAGACTTAGAGCTTTGCTGTCAATTGAATGATACATTCGCCTCGGCTTTCGCTCAAAAACTATACGTTCAGTTCCGGTGTGGCGTCAGATATAACGACGACTCCACTACCAATAAAGCGCTCAAAGGTTTGTATTTAATGATAGATTTATTACCATTTTTACTGACAAAAATTTAATGTGAATTTGTTTACAATATTTTCCCCCAAATAAAGGTTTTGAGACTGCGATTAAGAAATTTAGCGAATCGAGTGAATTGTTCTCACTTTACGCTCAAGTATTGCATCAAATAACTGATAAAATATATTATATTTACTAAACATTGTTTGAATTGTAAAGGCATTGATGGAAAAGGGAAACTTTGAAAAGGCCGAGGAATACTTCAGTAAAGCCATTGAAAAGGATCCCAAAGACGGCAACCTTTATGTTCATAAAGGAATCCTATTCTTGAATTCCAGTAACGATGTGGACAAAGCCATCAAATTATTGGGTAAAATCGTGATTTTGTTTATATTTTGCAATTTTTTAAACAAACGTGTCTTTATAGAGGAGGGCAAGACGGCGGACCCCACGTGTCAGTTCGCGTACGAGATGTTGGGCAGTATAGCGGTTCAGAAGGGCTTTCTGGCCGACGGTATCGCGCATTTTGACTGTGCGCTGGATTTGGCGCAAACAGAACTGGATTGCGCTCATCTCTACTCACTTAGAGATGCGGCCGAAGCCCAGCAAAAGGCAACAAAACTACTCGATATAGAGTTACCATCCAATCTGTAGATGACTATAACGGACACATCAATTGCTTTTTTACCTACATTTTCACGTATATAATGACCAACGGATTAATTTGTAATTTCAATTAATAGATTAGCGTATATTTTATTAAATATTAATTATGGTTTTATAATTTGATTAATAAATTAATTTGTTAGTAAATGGACACCTCTTTTTTGAGAGATACACACATTAATTGCATGATTTGAATGCTTTAAACTTTAAAGCGATATCAAGTTTATACTAAATTGTATTTAACTTAATGTTTTTGTGCGAATAACTCATTTTAAATAAGGGCATATGACTGACAACCAATTATTCTATGACAACATATTTTCAAAAATAATAATATTTTATAAGAATATAATTGTAATTAATATATAATTCATTTCACAAATTGTAGTCAAATATTTCGAAAATTAAAGATTTGTTGAGAAAAAAAACATATTTTAAATGTTTTAATTGAATTGAAAAAATCAATTAGTTTTGTGTTTCAAACATATTTTGATATTTATAAGTTATAAATTATAACAACATAAAAATATGCACAGTTTTAATAACATAATTTTTAATAACAAAAACATTTATTCAATATTTATATATTTACATTTAGAGGTTTAAATTAAATATTGGAATTTTAGTCAATTTTAATNCACTCTCATCGACTTGAATGAGAACAACTACTCCGCACCACAAGAAGGCAATCAAAGAGACAATACTTTCTATACGGAAAGCGCAAACCATTTGGTTAGCTATAGAGTGGGTGATAGAGCGGTGGGAATGGTTGACAACGAGTGCTTTAATGGTATGACAAACGAGAATCCGACCGAAGAGGGCGTCGACGACAGTCTCTCAATACTTCCTCCGAGTTATGAGGATGTGATTGACTATAGAGATGACGACAACGAGGGACACATTATTGTCGATTACGGCACTCTTTAAAACTTTTTATGCAAACTTTTTATATACATATTTCTTAATCTATATTTTAAAAATCATTTTTATTTATTTTTACTCAAACATATTGCCAGACAATCATTCATTCAATCAGTTTTTAATTAAACAAATATAAAACATGTATTAAAACAATTAGTTGTGTAAAAGTTATGTCACTTTACTTTATAATCTGTGATAATTGTGTTATATTTTCTAATTTTTGTACAAAAATATATAAATTTTTGGCCTAAATTATGGTTTATTTGTAATCAAAATGCAAACAAATTAAAAGTATATATTAATAAAATTAATTATATTATTTAATTGTTTAGTTTGTTTCACCAAGTTTTAACATGGTCAAATATATTTGAAAACAAATGAGTTGTACAGCAATTAACTTTTGATTTAACAGTGGATTAAATACTCAAAATTAATTATATTGCTAATCGTGTTGAGTGTCCACATATCCCAAGCCATACATTTCAAACCTATATGTTTTAAATACAATTCAAACACCAATTTATTAATTAATTGTTTGTATTTAGCGCTTGTTTTATTTGTAGCAAAGGTTGTAATAATTACTATAATAAACAATATATTCCCATAATTTTAGGAATATCCATACAATGAATGCAGAAATGGAAGGGAATATCCATTAATAAATCCCTCAACAGAGGGAATATTTGTAGAAAATAGTGTTTACTAAACGCTAGCATTGAAAGTGATATTTGAATGCTTATCACATGTTGTGAGAGGTTTTGGTAAACACTTTGATTGCATTAGTGTTGCGATTGAGGTCTCAATGAGTGGCTGTTATGCCATAAATCGGGTGACAATTAGCGGCCAAATCGGTGTCCAATAATGTCAGACAGAGTGTTGTCATCCATGTCTTCGGGCGCATCACTGCCGCCATTGCCTCCAATGCCTGCCATCGCCGGCGATGGCATCGAATCCAATGGTCTGCTCTCTCCAAGAGTTCAGTTGGCGCTCATAATCGGCGCACCGGTTGTGTTGGGAACCGGTCTTTGTCTCTATTACTACTACTATCGCCACAAACCCGATGACAAGGGGAGCGACAGGAAAGGCAACTCAACTAAACCCAAGACCATTGCCAACAATGAACCCAATCTAGAGGTTAGCGTTGAGACACTCCCACATCATTATCATTAGATCTGATCCCATATGTGTTGACATACAGTATAACTGATTGTGTTTGTAATGTTAGGATCCGCTGCAGCGGGCGATTCACGTGAAGAATTTGGGCAATAAATTCTTCAAAGACATGAAATATCGAGAAGCGATCGATTGCTATACGAAAGCCATCAGAGAGTGTCCGACCAATAAAGAGGAAGAGTTGGCCACTTTCTACCAGAACAGAGCCGCCTGTCATGAGATGCTGAAGATGTACGAAGAGGTGATCGACGACTGCGATAAAGCTGTTGAACACAACAAACGTTATATCAAAGCATTGGTCCGCAGAGCCAAAGGTATGCGTCGATTGTCACCACGAATTTGGTCCCAAAATTTGATGTTTAATTAATTATGTAATTATTAAAAGCTTACGAATCTTTGGGTGATATGAGTAGCGCTCTGTTCAACATCACTGCTGTCTGTATTCTGGAACAGTTTGGTAATCAGCCCAACCTCTTGATGACTGATCGCCTGCTTCGGGAACAAAGCAAACTAAAAGCCAAAGCGCTGTTTAGAACTCGGAGCCCACGCCTGCCGTCCGAGCACTTCATTGCCCACTATTTCATGTCGTATTCCAACGATCCTATACTCAAGAGTTGCGAACCCAAAGACATTATCAATCATTTGGAAACTCTTCGTCTAAAACAAAACGAATCCAATAAATCATTGCAGGAATTCCTTCTCTTAAATGGTATTGATTTCATTGTTTGTTCAAATGCTTTGAATTATTGTAATTGAGGTCTAAATTGTAATTCTTAGGAACGCTTGAGATATTGAAGGGTAATATCGAAAGCGGCGAAAAGGAGTTGGAAAAACTTATCAATTTAGACGATTGTGAGATTGATATCAAAGTGAATGCATTGATTAAATTGGGAACAATTAAAGTGCAAGAGATTGGCCGCGAAGACAGTTTCAATTTGGCGCTCGAGTGTTTCGAGAGAGCAATCAAATTGAATGACAAGAATCCAGACATTTATCTCCATAGAGCACAGGTATTACATAATAAATCAAATGAAGTTACGATTTATACTATAAATGTATACAATTTATAGATCTATCTATTGTCTGAACGAGTGGAGGACGCCTACAAAGACTTAGAGCTTTGCTGTCAATTGAATGATACATTCGCCTCGGCTTTCGCTCAAAAACTATACGTTCAGTTCCGGTGTGGCGTCAGATATAACGACGACTCCACTACCAATAAAGCGCTCAAAGGTTTTGAAACTGCGATTAAGAAATTTAGCGAATAGAGTGAATTGTTCTCACTTTACGCTCAAGTATTGCATCAAATAACTGATAAAATATATTATATTTANACCAGTATTAACACAAATAGACAATTAGTGGTGAACTGACTGTGATTTTTGGAGAATTCAAATATTAATTATAAGAATTTGAAAGTCTTGTGAATAGTTTTGTTTTTGTTACACAAATGTAAAGAAGTTTTAAGCAATTATGTAATGCATGTCAAAAACGATTAGTTCTGTTCACATAATCGGAAAATAAATTTTTTATATTTCAATATAAAAGCGATATTAAAATTGACTAAAATTCCAATATTTAATTTAAACCTCTAAATGTAAATATATAAATATTGAATAAATGTTTTTGTTATTAAAAATTATGTTATTAAAACTGTGCATATTTTTATGTTGTTATAATTTATAACTTATAAATATCAAAATATGTTTGAAACACAAAACTAATTGATTTTTTCAATTCAATTAAAACATTTAAAATATGTTTTTTTTCTCAACAAATCTTTAATTTTCGAAATATTTGACTACAATTTGTGAAATGAATTATATATTAATTACAATTATATTCTTATAAAATATTATTATTTTTGAAAATATGTTGTCATAGAATAATTGGTTGTCAGTCATATGCCCTTATTTAAAATGAGTTATTCGCACAAAAACATTAAGTTAAATACAATTTAGTATAAACTTGATATCGCTTTAAAGTTTAAAGCATTCAAATCATGCAATTAATGTGTGTATCTCTCAAAAAAGAGGTGTCCATTTACTAACAAATTAATTTATTAATCAAATTATAAAACCATAATTAATATTTAATAAAATATACGCTAATCTATTAATTGAAATTACAAATTAATCCGTTGGTCATTATATACGTGAAAATGTAGGTAAAAAAGCAATTGATGTGTCCGTTATAGTCATCTACAATAACCTACCATTGAGATATAGCTCATCAAAACAACGGAAAACGACCCGAAGCCGGCGTAGAGATTCACTCATCTCTACTCGCGTTAGGTCAAGACAAACGCGGTTTAGGTCGCGTGTCAGTTTTACGGCGATACCGTCGGCCAGAAAGCCCTTCTGAACCGCTATACTGCCCAACATCTCGTACGCGAACTGACACGTGGGGTCCGCCGTCTTGCCCTCCTCTATAAAGACACGTTTGTTTAAAAAATTGCAAAATATAAACAAAATCACGATTTTACCCAATAATTTGATGGCTTTGTCCACATCGTTACTGGAATTCAAGAATAGGATTCCTTTATGAACATAAAGGTTGCCGTCTTTGGGATCCTTTTCAATGGCTTTACTGAAGTATTCCTCGGCCTTTTCAAAGTTTCCCTTTTCCATCAATGCCTT